GCTTCACCCATTTCTTTCTACATTCATCGAGCATTATCAAAGTAACCCCAAATCAAAATACTGAAGTTCGGCCACAAAAGTAAAACATAGTGTAAATGCTTTAATTTCTGTTAAACATATTACTAACGAATTAACTCTTCGATTCTCCGTACTTGTTTTAAAAAATAAAATTTGAAAAACCTTCATTGCTGAAAAAAATATTTAGAATATAATTTTAAAAAACTATCAATGTTACTCACTTTTACGGTACCATACATGTTTAACACTATTTTGTAGCTGTGAGAGATGCAGCATACATGACATGCAAATTTTCTCTCAACTTGAATGTTTTACTCTTTTGGCGGTTGAAAAAACTATCGTCAATTCTTTATAGGTTGTCGTTAAAGGAGGATAGGAGGGGGGGGGGGGGTTGTTATATAAAAATAACATTTTTCGCGTTTCATATTATTTGAACGAGACCGAAAACTATAACTCTTTCTGTAAAATAGGTGTGGTCCTGAAAAGGACCAATTGTTCGCCCGAGCAAAGCTGAAGATCAAATTGAAATCCAAATTTGCTGTTATGATGTAACTTATTTTGAATGCTCCTGTGGTGGATGCCAACCCTGCGCGAGCCCGGATATTTATCCATGAGCGATTATAAACATTGAGGATCAGCATAAATGCGATCACGCCACCCGGGCGATGAACGCATTTATGCTGATGCGACGAAAAGGGTCACGTAGGCACCACAGCCCGCGAGCTTGCGCTCGCTAAAGAATTAATGAATAAATGAGTCGAGTTTTGTAGCTGAACTGGAATGGTAGTCCCGGGCCGTTAAGACCAGAAACTGAAGAAGCCATAAGCGCCCCACAAAAAGGGCAATTAATTCTCTATCGTTCATGGTGATCCTGCCAGATTCTGAGAGAAGCAAAAGACTAATCGCGAAACATATAATTCAATCACGGGTGACCGCCACGAGTGGGAAAGTGAACAAAAAATCTAACAACCAGTTAAGTGATTAAGCACGACGGCACTAAGTGGTTGAGCGCTAACGTAAGAAAGCAGGCGCGAATAGAGTGGAAGTTAATTTACGACCGACAGAACAGTAACATAGCGAGTGTGAAGAAAGTGACAAAATCTTAGTTTTACTAAGAAAAGCCTGACAGCAAGCCAGTGTACAGTCAGGTCTCGTTATTGCCGAATTCGTTATTGCCGCTTGTTAAAACCGCGAGAGACAATGGGCTGGTTCAGTGCGGACGAAATCGTCGCCGCACCAGCAGCCGCGAGTGGGGCCCAATGCGGAAATCACACAGCCCAAACGGGAGCGCTGTGTGCCATGGCGGTTTTTGCCGCCGGATATCTAATTTTTAAGGCAGTGGCGAAGGTGAGCCGATACAACACCGAACGTGTCGCCGAGAGAGCGGCACGCCGCGTTAATGCACAAGTTTAGAAACAGGGGCGTAAGTGTGCAAAGAAGAAAAAAAAAAAATAGAAAGGACGATTTTTTTGAACAGTATGGAATAAACGGAATGAAGTGATAAACCGGATAATTACGTTACGCGGAAATGCAAAAATAATAACCATGTCAGGAGTAAATAGTATTGACTATCATATCGTTGCCCAAACGATCGAACATTTTGGACAAAAAAAAAAAAACAATTTTGGGAACGTATTCCCCGCAGTGGTAAAGGTGATATTTGAACTGATAGCCGCGAAGTGCGAGATCATAGAAACCGTGTATAAACTGGCAGCAGGAGCTGCACTGAGACCCAGATTACCAGGACTGATTGAGGAATTAAACTAGGCCTACAACGGCTTAAAGATGACATTGGACGCGGCTAAGGAAATGCAGACCTCCACCGACGATCAACAGGCAACCGCTAATAATCGACAACCCGGCACAGACACCTGACAAGGAGATACGTTGGGAAGTATTTTTTTTTTATTAGTTAGTTTAATTTTGATATATGTCTTGTTTGTAATACTTGTTCATTTGTTGTTTTAGGAAACAAATACAACAAAGATGAAATCCTAGAAAACGAAGGAAGACCAAAAGAAGAGCAGTCATTTCCTTTTCATGAGAAATGTGATACAGAGTGTGAGCCGATAGTCTTACATATATATATTCATTTCCAAATGACCTATGTAACTATGGAAGTATATTTTTTTTAACTTAAATAACAGCAGGTAGAGCATTCATTTCCTTTCATGGAAAGTGCGATACTCTGCATCGAAGAGTTGATTGGCTACCTAGTAGTAAATTTGATTAATTTGCAGAAGAGCCCAAACAGGATATACCAACACCGAACGCTTGTTAAGAAACAAGAGTACTGCGCTTATATTTTCCAGAGGGCTAACTCTGAAATTTTAAAAATAAAGGGAAAACTAGATCCTGCCCAACAAAATAAATACACAGAAAAGCTCAATAGCACATATCAAGCTTTAAGGAAAATTATACAACAGAAAATTACAAAGATGGCGCCGAAACTTGATCTTTCGCTGGCCCTTAAGTTGGTTGGACCTTTCGACGGATCTGTCACCGGGTTGACAAGATACATCGAAAGCGTGGAACTACTAAAGGACTATGCGGAGGATGTGCCGGAGGCAGCCATCTTGAAGTTTTTAAAAACAACATTAGTCGGAGCGGCGCATGGTGCTATTGACAACGCAGCAACCATCGCGCTAGCTCTACAGGCTCTACGGCAAAAGTTTGCCATAAGGGTTACTCCACGAGCGGTGGAGAACGAAATGAATACACAGAAACAAGGTAATAAGTCCATCTCCGATTACGGAGCAGAAATCGAAAAGCTTACTGCAAAGCTGGCAGCCGCACACGTATCAACGGGTACGTTTGCGAGCGAAGCCGCGGCAGCGAACATCGTAGAACCAATTGCCGTTCAGGCATTCACAAATGGGTTGAAAGACCCAGCGACAAGATTTTTCATCAAGGCTCGCAACCCAGCGACCCTAAACAAAGCGATCTCAGATGCGCTGGAATGTCAAGTCACTCCAGGCAACTCGGGATCGCAGGACAACATGATGGCACTATGGTGCACATCAGGAAGACCAAAGTACCACCACAGAGGGCGTGGTAGGGGCTTCCAATCAAATAGAGGATTCAGCAATAACTACGACAACTACAACCGTGGTTGATCTCATTTTGGTTGACTTAACGGTTAACACAGCAAAAATGAGAGCAAAATTTTACACTGTTGAAGCAAACGGAAAACTAATGCTGCTTTCAATGAAATCAATTTGATTACTGATTTTGCATTCATAATGTTCAACTGAATACGGGCCTGGAGTAAATGGTTACCATTCATGTTTCTCAAGCTGAAAGACTTGGGCTCCAATCTCACCCCGGGCAAGTCACGAATGACCTAAAATGTGTTAAACAAATCAAATAAACAATAATCATTAGCTCAACGACAGATGAATTTCAATTAAATTTTAAACAAGACGTAAACAGCAGAACTTCAAGTTAAGTTGCTTTCATTTAAAAAGTCTTGACTGCATAATGAAAGCACAATATGATGAAATGAGTTTTCATTATGATAGGAACTGCACACTTTAATATCGATTTGCTTTCATTTTGTTAACCGACTTTGCTCGGGCGATCTCCTCAAATTCCTCATCATCTCCACTCCATCGTTGGTTGTCGTCAAGGTAAGCACGCTGACTGCTACTATTTTACCTCACCGTTTGTCCGATGCAAATATGAGCGGATTCACAACAGCAGTGCTCTAGCTTTAGCAGAGGCAAAGGGAAAAATTCCACCTTTTGCTGATTTGCTCTTGCATCTGCTTGCCACGCCGTTCGAAGCTTTAATGAGCAGAGGAACGACAGCAGAGCTCTTACATAGTTTTACAGGTTCAAGCAAATCGATGCGCAATCAAATGGTACTCGATTATGTCGACTTGGTTCGGGGAGAACGATTATTTCATTGAAACAGTCATAAAATTATCACTTATTTTAGTACATTTTTCAACGATTTTTTTTTTTAGAAAATTGGCAAAGCATTTATTGAAGCAGATTGTGAGAGTTTTTTTTCTATCGATTGGTGCATTTGGATTTCAATTTCATCTATAAATGACAAGGTTATAAGCGCTCAAAACCTTACACCTTTTCGTGACGGTCACAATTTTAGATTTCCGATTTACCCCCAGTACCTTCCCGTAAGACGTAGTCTACGTCAAACAATCAATCTAGTAATGGGAAATAAACCACTACTCCAACACGTTAACTGCGCACTGCTCCGTGTTTCCGCTCCATTTCAACGACGAAAGTTATCTCAATCAACCTGTCAACCCACGTTTCAAGTTGTGTCACAAAATTTGACATCTTCACTTTCTTCCTCGATCAAGGAGGGAAAATTAAAAATTCACCTGCAAATCCCGATGACAGTCTACATCCGGCAGCTAACGGCAGCAGGAAACGAATCCATGTTATCCCTTTTTCCTTACACCGAACTACCCAAAGTCCCTTATCACCGAGAATTAATTGAAAAGATGACAAAAGTTCCCCAACGACTAACCCGCTGCAAGGTTCTTGTCGGGAAAGTTTTGATCGCAGTTTTTTTTTGTTTGTACCTGATTCGCTTCACCATTTCCACAAACAAGTTTCACCACTTTCTCTACCTACCATCGGCATCGTCGCGAAGCACCGGCAGAAAAAGTTTCGCAATTTTATGTTTTTTCCCATCGATGTTGACATATGTCGTACGTATTTGGGTTGGGGAATTGCAGGGCTGGTTGCGTTACTGACATTTCGTTATTTATTTTATATGATTTGCTGCATATATGGGGTTGTACGAGTTCGTTCTCCTGTCCCAAGGTCGGATAGCTCACACCATAAACATTCGCTCTTAATTCTCCTTGCTGAGAGCAGTTTTGCCACACCAGATAAAAAGTGAAATGCTGTGCGAGTTTCTTGTGCTCTGAATTGAAAACCCAAGACTCATGAAAGTCGCAGAGCATATCCCCATCAGCAAAGCGTAGCAAACGACAACGATCATGCATTTCATATCAACCTGCCATGTAGCACTCTTAATGGGACAGGAGAGAAAAAAAGAAATTCGAATCTGGTAGGGAACAAACCTCGGTGGTCCGCCTGCAACGCCATCGATAAGGCCAACGTTCGGCGGTGGTGGCGCCGGTGGAAGATCCGAATGCGCCGGACATCGATACAGTCTAGTGTCAGTGGTCAGCAGCATCGGGTACCGAATTGATTTTCGCAGACGACGACGACCATGGCGACAAATACCCATCGGTAGGAGGGTTTTCGGTGAGCGACCAACACATAATGCACAAACACATTCGGGAATGGCGAGAAGCAGATAGAACGAGATAGAGAAAAGAGTTGTTTTCCCATAAGATGGAATTTGATTACGTTTTATCGTTTGCACGTTCACTGGGTCGGTTGTTATCGTTAGTGGAACGTGCTGTCATACTCAACACCATCTTATATTACGAGTGATAATTACAACATCTATTGAGACAGAGAGAATGGGATCTTATGTTTAAGAAGAAGGGAGTGTATGATAGAAGATGAAGAGAAAAGTACATAGAAGATACACTACTGAACTTGTAAATATGGAATGTATATAGCAAAATAGAAACCAAAATTTACATCTAAACCGGGAAAATGTACATCATATGGTAAAGTTAGTTCAAAAGACAGAGTTCTTAACTAGTTGCATAACATGCCTTCTTGCGACATTTCTTTGAGTAGACAACCTTCTGTGGCATATAACTGACTCTTAATATTCAGATAAAAAATATTACTTGATTCATAACATGCTGAAGTAGAGATTGCTCGTAAGGGTCGTCCTTTTATCGAATAAAAAATAATATCTGATATACAAATAACGCATTCCAGCATTATCTTTCGACTCTGAATCGCCACATTTGATAGGTTTAAATTGCGTCTTCATCGGTTCGTAAATTTTAACAACACCGAATAGGCACAATAGCTAATCCTTCTCAAACCGGTAGCATCCGATTCCGGACGAAAAAGCCGATTTCACATATCATTGATCCATTAGGCTAGCAGTCAGTAATCCGAAAAGGTCAAAGTATCAACTGTTCAGTATTTCAATCAACAACGTTCTATAATGGTACAACATAGAGGATCACAGAGATGGGAGGTATGATGAGACAGCAGGAAAGGATTCACACACGACGAACATCGGTCATCAAATGGACATCGAACATTTCGAACGTGTCCATTCATTTATTCCGTTGGCCAAGCGCTTAAACCATCAATCATGCATCGCACGAACAATGGGGACAGCTTTGAAAGCGGGGACAACACAAATTCACAAAAAACCCAAACGACTACAACAGTGCGACATCCATTATTGAAAGTTGGGAAGGGGTGGTTCTGAAAAGTGGTTCCGAAAAAAAAAATTATCTAACGGAACACCCATCATCACCATCAACACCCAGTTTTAAGTAGGATACAGAATAGTGGTGCTGGGTAGGAGGTTGGTTGGTATTACATGTTAAATTGGGAATAAAAGCGAACCGAGCATAAAAAGGGCCCAGCTGAAGCATTTGATTAAAATTTCAACAAAGCATTCTGGGAACTTTTACACTTTTGTTCAGTTTTTTTTTTCGCTGCTCGTTGAAAGTGCTTAAAGAGTTGGATGGACGGAATTTTGAAAGCATGGCGCAGTGCTTTTGTGATGTAACCGCGAGGGAGTGGTTTGGCGAGCACTACACCAAGTTCAGGAAGAGCGTGAAAAGCCAATCTGCCGGACGTCATTTAAACGAGCCAACCAAAACTATCAGATTGCAAGTAGTCGATCGATTTTTGGTAATTACGTAACAAAGTGACGCCAACATTGATTGAGAGAAAATCCTGATGGGATGAAATTATAATTTCAGCAACTTAAAGTCATGAAGGTGCTTTAGTATTAAAGATATCGCCCGTCGCACTGTATATTGTATAAGACACTTTCAACAACAGATGGTATTAAGAATTTTGAACCAGCGAACCGTATGCCAGCTTCAAATAACAGGGAGAGGACAGTGATGTAGAAGTACAGCAAAAGCCAGCAGCTCTCGTAATTGCTTCACAGAGCGAACGGAAAACAACGAATTCCAGTGTCTCACCGGTCGTCGGTGTGGGATGATCTGACAAACAAAATCCCGGTAGAACAGCATCAGCTGTAGATACACACACAAAAACACACACACAATCACACACACACACACACACACACATACAAGTTTCAGCCAAGTGGGATAAGGTAAAACGAGCAACAATCCGAAAAATTGACATTTAATTATGCCGATAAAATTTAGCTTGGCAATCGGGCAAAATGAAGTATATTGGGGGACACCAGGGTTGTAGCATCAGCATGTAATTTGAAAGAAAATTAATTCATTGTGAGAGTGGTCTGCAAAATTCATTCATGAATTTATTCAAAGTAAAAGCTAATTTGTTTTAACTCTTTGACCTGAGGTCAAAATGAATTCCTGTCGGATATAAGGTTGTTTCTGTTTTGTAAGCCTCTAGACTAACTCGGGAAAAGCCTAAGGGTCGCCTACGGAGCTAAACATCACAATCACATCCAGCTACCACCTGTTTGCAGCAGGAACGTATATTTTGTTTAAAGGTGAGCAATAACCACAAACGTTGCACCTAAAAGAGAACAACACAAAACACATGGGAAGCTCGAAAGCCAACGAGGTTCAAATTTCTGAACTATGAACTCCAGGACGAGGCCTGAAGACCCCTTTCGGGCCCGGAAAAAACGAAACGAAAAGGTGGTGGAACAAATTTAAAGGGCTGCACTTTTAAAAAAATAGCCGCGTTTTATAACATTTTAGCTGTTTTTATTTTAATCTTTGGTGACGTCACATGCACTTGCACTGGGTACTGCGGCTTTCTGGTAGGTGGGAATGTCGAATTTCGTAGCAGGATCAACGATGATTCGGCGATAGCGACCAGCATGACATCGCTGACATTTCGACGTTGTTTCTGCTGTCTCGATTGCTGGTGGATTTTTATTTATTTATTTATTTGTCGTCAATCAGTGTAGACCGTTTTACAATTGTTGTCTTAAGAGCTATGTTTACAATTTTGTCTTTGTTTATATTTTTTAATAATGTGCCTTGAGAACAAGTTTAAACATTACTTCTAGCTGACGTAATGGGAGGAATTAAAATATTGCTTTAATTTGTTTTTTGTCATTGTAAAGTCAATGTTATCGCAGTGCTTATTATATGTATCCATCATTTGATTCAAGGGTCCAAATTTGGCATGATTCGTACGATGACGATTTGTAGCAAATATATTTCTATTTCGTAAATGCCTAGATGGTGTATATAAATTTAAGGATGACAATAGTTCTAAAGAATCAATGCGATGTGATACGATATCGTTTACGAAAGAGATCATAGCAAATTCACGACGCTCTTTTAATGTTTGGATATTTATGAGCATACACCGAGATGTGTAAGATGGCAGAGGAAATACAGTCCAACCTAACTTGCGGAGTGCATACAATAGAAACTGTTTTTGAACGGACTCTATTCTTTCTTCGTGTGTGATTGAAAAAGGAGACCAAACTATGCTGCAATATTCTAATATCGACCTTACATAAGCAATGTACAATGTTTATTATCGTATACGGATCGTGAAAGTTATAGCAGAAACGTTTTATGAAACCAAGCATGTTGTTAGCTCTGTTAATAATTGTGTTATAATGATCGGTGAAAGTAAGTTTTGAGTCCAAAATAACACCTAGATCCCTGACTCTATCACACTTTTCTACGATATGGTTTCCTAAAGTGATTGTTATATCGGGTAGGGTTCGTTTTCTACTAATGGTAATTGAGTTACATTTTTTTATATTTAATTGTAGCAGGCTTTTTCGGCACCAAGTATGGAATATCTGTATTTCCTCTTTGAATGTGATGATGTCTTTGGCATCTTTTATTTCCAAAAAAAGTTTAATGTCGTCAGCATAGATTAAAACTTTCAATTTCTTAATAATGAAAGATATGTCATTGACGAAGAGAATAAATAAAAGCGGTCCTAAAAGGGAGCCTTGAGGAACTCCAGAAGTGACATCAACGGGATTTGATGTCTTTCCTTTGTATTTTACTATTTGATGGCGGTCAGTTAAATATGATTCAAGCCACTTGAGGAGTGCGTAATGAATTCCCATTTTTTGAAGTTTAAAATGAAGCATGGGTATGTCAATTCGATCAAACGCTTTGCTGAAATCTGTATACAACACTTCTACATGGTTTCCGTTAACCATTGCATTCAAGGAATAATTAATTAATTCCAGCAAATTCGTAGTTGTTGAACGGCCTTTAAAGAAGCAATGTTGAATAGTGTAGTTATTCTGTTTTTAATTTGAAGAAAGAGTTTTTCATTCACAATCGCCTTGAAAAGTTTCGGAATGCAAGAGATTATAGCTATACCACGATAATTAAGTATGTCGGATGTTTTGCCCGATTTAAAGATATTAGTGCCTATCTTTAAATCGGGCAAAAAATCCGAAATACGAGTTTTTCCATATTTTAGGGAAGTTTCCGGATTCCAGTGACATATTGAAAATCCAAAATAATGGAGCAGTAAGTTCAGTTGCTAAAGCTTTCATAAAAACTGGCGGAACACCGTCAGGGCCAGGACCTTTAGATGCATCTAAATTGTTTAACCCTTTAAGATATCATGAACCTTGATTTGACTTACGCTGATGTCACTTGAAAATTCTGGATAAGATTCAAAATATTCACGGTCACGGTCCTCTCCTGAAAACGTAGTGTAGATTTCTTGGAAGAAATTTGCAAACAAATTGCATATATCATCCGAGTTCTCACCTACCCTAGCGTCCAAATGCATCTTTGATGGAAAATCATCAGATTTTAATTTGGTTTTCACATAATTGAAGAATTTCCTAGGACAAGATTTTATTTCAAGTTCAGTTTTTAAATTGTACTCCTCATATGCCATATTCACGGCTAAATTTAACTGATCGCAAATGTCTAAATAGTATGCCAAAGTTTCTTCACTATTATATTTTTTTTATAAAATTTGTGCGCTTTTTGCTTTTGATTTTTTAAATTTTTCAGTTCCCTGATGTTTTGCATGACTCTGACGTCTTCTTCTTTTAGTTGGCTTTTCTTCAAGTATTATTTCAAGCAACGCATTGTAGAATACGTCAACTGCA